TTCTTTTATTGTTATTTCTGAATTATTTTAAGTTTTAAGTTATGTGGGGGATTGTTGGAGTTATATAATTAAGATAACTTAAAACTTGGGCTTGTAGAGGAAAAGAGGAAAAGTTTTGTCCCACATAGAAAATGGGATAGAAAAAAAGGGTCTTTATAAGCCTTCCCTTTCTCTCCTATGCCTAGAAGAAAACAAAGGTTATGCTCCATACCACACACGCGCGCCGGCCAGGCCGGACTCGGGAATGGGCCTTTAATCTGGTACATTTTTATTTTTGAATAATTAAAATGTAATATTTATTAATAATTAAAATGTAATATTTATTTTTGAACAATTAACATGTGATAAACGTTTTGTAACGGTTAAGAGAATTAAATTTTAAAACGGTAATATTCATGAGATTTAAATCAGAATCAAAACGGAAAATAGTTTTTATGAGAATTAAAATCGGTAATTAAAATAAATTAATTGCGGATTTATGAGTAACGGATGTTTTAAGCCTATAAAAGGACCTAAATCTGTAGAGTATGATACAGTGTGAAAAACACAACATATTCTCTCTTCTTCTCTGTTATTCCTCTTCATAAAACTGTTGTTATATTTTTGGTGGATCCCTGAAAGTCACGAAGGTCCATGAAGATTTCTATGCATTACTTGTAGAAGATTCTCCAATCACATTTGAAGATGCAATGAAATCAGTAGATGCTCCATTTTGGAAGGAAGCTATAAATAATGAGATACAATCTATAGTTCAAAATCATACTTGGGAACTAACTGATCTTCCTTCAGGCTGTAAAACTATAGGATGTAAATGGGTATTTAAGAAGAAACTCAGACCAGATGGAACAATAGATAAATATAAGGCCAGATTAGTAGCTAAAGGATATACCCAAAAATCTGGCATTGATTATTTTGATGTCTATTCTCCAGTAGCTAGGATTACTACCATTAGAGTCCTTATAGCTCTAGCATCTATTCACAAATTAATAATACATCAAATGGATGCTAAAACTGCATTCTTAAATGGAGATTTAGATGAAGAAATCTATATGGATCAACCTGAGGGATTTATAGCTTCTGGACAAGAAAAGAAAGTATGCAAACTTATTAGATCACTATATGGCCTCAAACAAGCTCCAAAACAATGGCACATGAA